TCGAAGTCCTCATTGATCAGTGAATACCTTTCGCATACGGGTTTGACATCTCTTTAGTGCCTGTAATTAATAAATACATCTTATACTTTTTATTTTTTAAAAAATCTCTTAGCTGGTTTTCCTTCACACCCAGACATATATCCATCTAGTATTTTTTCTCGTTCTTGCTCAGTAGCCATGCAATGCAAGTAATTTCCAATCCACTGAACTGATTCTTCCTCATTCACTGTCTTCCTTGCAAACCCTCTTCCTATCTTCACAAAGGCCATCTTTACAACAACCCTAAATCCCAATTTCCCCCGCCAAACCACTCATCTTTTCTGCTCAACGTACCAGTATTGTGATACCCACAACACTAATCCCTCAAAACCTCCAATCTTATTCTTTTTCCTGCGAGTAACACGAATTAAAGAAAAAATAATAGGATTAAATGTGGCTCTGAAGATTTTCAGATTGGAGAAATGTAATGATAGTTCAGTCATTTCAGTATTTCTTTTAAGATTTGACAATCAAACTTCTTATTTTTAATAAATAAAATCAAACTTAATGCCCGGGGAGTACGTCTATATTTTAATGAACATACGTGTGTGTTTTCCCTTAATTCTTAAGTAGGGAGTTCTATATATGAGGATAAAAGTTATGCATGTCGATGCAATTTACACTTTGTGGCTATTATTAGAAGGTTCATGTAAGTCGAGTCTAGGTTCTTCTTAAACAAGGATGTATTTCTAGCCTCCCAGTGAATGATAGTCAAGGGAGCCACACATTCTTTAGTTTGTATTTTTCTGATAGAAAATTATAGGACTCCTGATTATAAATAGAGATTTCCTGATTATTGAGAATTAATGAAGTCCTATGGCTGGTTGTTGTAATCTCCTTTATTTTGCTTCTCCTCTTGAAAATTTGGATTTAATAGTTAAGAGGGAAAAAAAAAGGAAAAAAAATATTTATATTCCCTTCCAAATAGTAAATACATTTTTCTCTTTGGAGTTCAAGAACAAAACAAAGCTTTCATTCTTGATCCAATTTCCCCAACTAACTCAGTGTATCTCCTTTGTTGGCCACCATCTTGCCAGCAGCGGTTTTGTCAGTGCCACATCCTAAAACATAAGAGTAAAGCATTATTGTCGCTGTACCATAAATGTTTCAAACTTATATAATTAATAATAAATGCATTAGAACAGCTTATGAAAAAGTCATAATCAACAGGTGCAGGATGCTACCTGTGCAAAGAAGTAGCAGAGTGTCCAAACTGTTTCTGATCTGGTGCTTGGTTTCCAGACTTATTTGGAAGACAGGCCATGAGTTTCTTAATCTGAGTTGGGTAATGGGTGGGATAATAGCTGCATAATTGTGAGCATGGGAGTGTCTGGAGTTGCCAAGAGCAGAAAATGGGCTATTTTGCTTTTTTCTCTGCTGTTTTTTTTTTGGTGGTATCTGGTGAAGCAAGAATAGGATAGCTTTTTAAAGAGTTTGCACCAGGATTGAGGATTACTGGTTTCTGAGCCTTTACATTTTTATTCACATGTCATCCTTTATGTTCTAAGGAGGATTTTGCAGACCTTATAAAGATTTGAGTAATAATTTCTTGCAGGTACTTTTGTACGCGGGCAGCAACCCCTTCAGTGCTCTGTACATGTGATTCATCATTTTCCTGTTAAAGAAATGCATTAAAAATTTGGCTTTATTTGCAGACCTTATAAGGATTGAGGACATTTGGCTTGTGCTTGACATATTGTTCTTCGTAATTTCATATGTTCTAAGCTGGAAATTATCCCTGGGGAGTCCAATGGTTGCTTATGTTTGTTAATTTTCCTGCTTTACCAGTTCAATGATGCACCTTCAGGAAATTTCTTTGAAGTATTGCTGAATATCCATGTGCATGGGCTTTGAAGCTCGACCGTTTATGGTAACATCATGGAAAATTAATAATAGGCTTGAGAATCTCCACTCCTTAAGAAAAGTAAAGCTGTCATTCTATCTTCTGCATTCGAGCTTTTGAGTATTAGAGAAGACTATATTGCAATTTTACTGCAAAGGAGCTTTGTATAAAATAACTTGGTGGTTCAACATTATTGTCAAATGTCAGAAGTTGATATGACAGTGATCAAACCAGAGGTATGTTATTAATGGATGTGATTTGCCATTTTTCCCGCATTGAATTGTCCTTTCAGCCAATGCTAGAAGTTGAAGGTCTCTGTTTTGAATATGTACAAATGATGTCGGACCTATGTCTGTATATACGCAGATGATGAAGTCCTATATCTGGCTTCAGACTGCCGATGGTTCAATACAACAAGTAGAACAAGAGGTTGCAATGTTTTGCCCTATGATATGCCATGAACTAATACAAAAGGGAATGGGATCATCCAAGAACTGTGCTATATCACTTCCACAGCGGGTCAATCCTGCCATGTTAAGTCTGATTCTTGATTATTGCAGATTTCACCAAGTACCAGGACGTTCTAACAAGGTTTAACATGCTTTTAAGTTGTTGATCTGCCTCGTTTAGGCTATATAAATTGAGTAATATTGGATCTGCCTCCTACCATGAGCTCTTATCAAGCTCTTGACTTTTTCCTCCCCTGTTGATGTAGGAAAGGAAGACTTTTGATGAAAAATTCATTCGAATGGACACAAAAAGGCTTTGTGAGTTGACTTCTGCTGCTGACAGCCTTCAGTTGAAACCTCTGGTTGATCTTACAAGCCGTGCTCTTGCACGAATTATTGAAGGCAAAACCCCTGAGGAGATACGTGAAATTTTTCATTTGCCTGATGATCTCACTGAGGTGTCTGCTACTTGGGAAACCGTTTTCCTTTTGGCATGCTTCCCTGTTCCTTATGTTGTCATTGTTGTTTCATAATTTTAACATTTTAGTATTTATGCAGGAAGAGAAATTGGAGCCTTTGAAAAACACAATGGATGATCCAAGAATTCGACTTTTAAATAGGTTGTATGCAAAGAAGAGGAAAGAATTAAAGGAGCGAGAGAAATTAAAGGTGACTGGCAGTCTTTTCTCTTTTACTTAACTTATAGTAACTTGTAATTTACTTTAAAAAAATGAAATTATACTGTTTGAAGGTGCATTCTGCTGTTTAATGTGAATTTCATTAGATGAAAGTGTAATAGGGTTCATACAACAGTATCTACCTCTATGGGGATGATAATTGCAAAATTTGGCTTCACATCTTTCAGAATGTTGAGGTTGAAGAAGAGCGAGTGGATGAGCGTTCTGTGGATGACCTCTTATCATTTATTAATGGGGAAGGTACTCAAGCTTCACCTTCATTATTTTTCTCCCTGTCTGAGTTTGCCTTCTTCATTATCTTCTGTGTTGTAGGAATCTCTGCTGCTTATTAGGTTTGAGTGAACTAATTTGCTTAGTTTATAGAAGGATTTACCCTTTATTTTATTTGGAACATAGTCTCAATATTTAGGAACTGAAAAAATATGGATAGCTTGGATGCTGAAAATTCTTTTATCAAATATCATATGAAGTTTCTTTTGTAAACTAATTTTCTTTAATATAAAGAACAAATTTTTTATTGTTGACTTTATCCCCAAAAAATAAATGGTTATGCAATTATAAAATGACTTATTTTCTAGTAGCGTGCTCAGTTGTCTGTGAATCCTTTTTCCCTATAAGTTTGTCTAGGCAAGTACTATTTTGTAAAGGGTAAATCTAAAAAGCATTAAGGATCCTAATTAGACTTGCAAGTGAAAATGAGTCACTTGTAGCCACTTTGAATATTTAGATACTGTAACGATTTCGAAAATATTCAAAAAAAATAAAAAATAATTAAAGTGCGGAGGCGTAATAAATATTCAGGACTTATATTTCTTACACAAATAACTTAAAGTACCAAACAGCATTACGAAATTCACTATTTTGAAAAAAATATAAGAATAAGGAAATAAACGGGAAATAAAGAAATCTAGCATCTATTCGCAATCTTCCTGCGGATCGGGCTCTGAATCTGGTTTTCTTGATATGAAATGGTTAAATAAGGGATGAATTACACTAACCCAGTAAAGATATCACACTATATCACTGACACAGAAGTAAAGGTTAGTATAAAATTAAAAACCACTAATGGAACACTAAATTTAGTAAATTCATTTATTAATCATAAAGAAAATTATTTACCGTTCATTTACTGTAGTAGGGTTCATAAAAATAACTTATGCAGACAATTAATATCATACAGATCATAGTTTCGTGTAAAATCAGTAACATAGCACATATCACAAGTTTATATACATTGTCAATAAACTAAACAATAATTGTCACTTTTTCATCAGTCTACTAGTATGCATGGGGGTTCATAGGGATGTCCCCGCTACACGCGAACCCTTTTCTTTAACAATTTCAATTATAGGCTGTTCTCATACCCCGTCCGGTATGAGACAACGTTCACGGTAGGGTTCCCTATGTACCCGGTCCGTCCACCATCTCTCAGGATATCTAGTAAGACTGTCATCTTCATCTATTCATCTTCCCACACAACTTTTCCGTTTTTCGTTAGTTTCAATTTTTCAAATCAACCATAATCATACAAGCAAACAAAAATGCATAAGGGAATACAATTATATCTCAATTTTCCAATTAAACGGTGATCACATAAGGTAGCAATACATCCATTCAAATCATAAAATTGATAAATCAGATACTATTATGTCTTTAAACTGTAAAATAAATCAACAGAGAACAATTTTCGGTTTTGGCTATATTAGCAATCTGTAATTAATTATGCACATTTATTAAATTCGCACAAAATACATTTTATTATTTATTTAAACTCCAATTCTATTATAAGGAATATGGTGAGAGATTCTTACTCAATTTGATATCCGAAAAGTTAAGCTGTTCGACTGCGTATACGGGCGATTCCCTTGTTCCCTGAATTTTTTTTCAGGAATTAAAATGCACTAATAATGCCTACAAATATCCCAAACAAACCTAAAATCAGTGTCGGGGCCCACTTGGCCAATTTCGGAACGATTTCGACCGATTTTGCATCGATCCCTGCGAGAAAACACATTAAAGGGATTCGGTTGACCGAAAAAACACAAAAAACCCAAACTCATTGGCGGCGGGGCTCTCCGGTGCGGTGACTCCTCCGGCTCACGTTGTAGTTGGGTGTTTTGCTTCGGTCAACCTGTAGAGAAGGACACGGTGATCACAACGGTGAAAAAATTACACATAATGGGAATCGGAAAGGGCCTCATCGGAGGCGTTTTGTGAAATTCCCTGCGGTGGCGCCGCCATGCTTCACCGGCATTTTTCGGCCAATTGGCCTGTTTTTTTGCCCCAATTTGGTCATGGGTGAGCTTAAAATTGAAATTCGAGCAAAATGGGAAGTTTTTACCTTTTTTGTCAGTCGGAAAGGGTTCCGGTACGGCGGTGGGTGGCGGCGGCTCCTTCCTGGCGGCGGCTCCTTCTTGGCGGTCAGGTCTTCATCTCCGACGAGGGGTTCTGGCGGCTAGGATTAGGGTTTAGGTGCGAATAAGAGTTATTTATATCCGTCCGCTTTTGATCTGGGCCGTCTATCACGTTTGATCTGAACCGTCCGATCGCGATTAAATAGGGAGTGAATTTGGGCCGTCCATCGCGATCTAATTTGAACCATCCGATAGCGTGTGAATCTTGCCGTTGGATCGCGTTTGGGAGGGAGCGCATCCAGACCGTCCGTGTGCGCGGGAACGGATCTGGGCCGTTCGATCGCGGACACACGGATTGTTTGCATGGCACCGCATCAGCGCCCGTTGCCATGTGACACGTCCTGATTCGTCGTGGCTGCTGATTGGGCATCTTACGTGGCAATTTTTTCTAAAGTGGCGTTTGATTCC